TCTGTGAGAAATATAACGATCCAAAGACAAAAGAACTGATAAAAAAGCTGTTATATGAGCAACAGCCATGTGGGCAGCGCTGTCATATGCCTTAGTTGTGCACAAGGTGTTTGTCACAGCTCCAGACTTATTTGTTCATTAATGACGTCATCAGCGACTAGTCGACTTCGACTCGACTTTCATCACATAAAAGTCGACTTCAAAAAATCAGAAGTCGTTCAACCCCTACTCTGTACAACAGGTTTGTTAGTCAAATTGTGATCATGTTGATAATTTATAAATTTGTGTTTTAAATATGATACAGTAGGCTTTACAGGGTTAATCTTACGGCTTTATTACAATGCAAAACTTGACATCTAACTAGAAAAATGCTCTTAAATTTATGCTAAAGGCTGTATGTGTGAAAGCATCTCATGTAAACCATGTTGCATTCTTTAGTGTTGCTTGCATCTATTAGAAAAAGTCCAAAAAGCGCTGTTCTAATTTCTTCACAGATCAAAATTCATGAGCATCACCGATTTTTCCCATCTCCCCCGTCTTTCCTTTTACAAATATCCCATTTCCTTTACAACAATTTAGCGTACCCCCTCCACACTTCCTCTGTGACAAGCGTTTTCGTCTGTTGTGCTTGGCTGTCTAGATTGATGAGAATAGCTTTACTGTTTGACAGTCTGTTAGAAAACATTTCAAGGGAACGCTCTACTGACGGCCCAATATGGAAGTGCTGACAGCTCACTGGTGACCCGCCGCTGAGGTTTCTGAATACTGAGATGGTTCCTGCTTCTCATCTGCATAATCAGACCAACTGTGTTGACCGCGGTTTTTGTCTCGGTGTTTTGATTCACAGTGATTGTAATTCACAGACAAGTCGGCTATTGGCATTCACACGCTGATGATGATACTAATGCTGGCGTTGCTTTGTTTTAAGTCATGGTATGGCTGTACTAAACCTGCCCCAGGCTGAATAGCATAATATGTAACACTATTCAAATGACATTTGTTTTCTGAGTTATGTTTGAGTTAAAGCAAAGGACGTTTGTGATTTCATGAAATCATTTTGGTAGGTTCGGGATCACTGTAGTTATTAGTTTTGTTTGTAGTGTGAAGATTTGTATACTGAAACCCATGTTGAATAAGTACATTTATAATAAATGGCGAATGGAATGAATCCATATGTAACAAACTTTGATGTGAATCCAATACTAAAGCAGGAAGTTAATTGTTGTTATGTTGAAAATAGATATGACACTATGTATATACGAGATGAGGAATTGATCATCCTGGACTCAATCATGCATATTTATTGAAAGGTAAAGAGAAACTGGTTTGTG